ATGGTCAATGGTGCCTCCATGGCCACAGTGCCTCCATGGTCAATGGTGCCTCCATGGTCACAGTGCCACCATGGTCAATGGTGTCTCCATGGCCACAGTGCCTCCATGGTCAATGGTGCCTCCATGGCCACAGTGCCTCCATGGTCAATGGTGCCTCCATGGCCACAGTGCCTCCATGGTCACTGGTGCCTCCATGGTAACAGTGCTTCTGAACTCCTGCTCTTTTTCTTTGTAGCTCCGTAAAGCCATCGAGGGCTCAGTGACGGTGAAAGGCGTGAAGGTGCGTCCTCCTCTAGCCAGCTTCAGGGACAGCGGGACCAGCAGCAGCGAGACCGAGGCTACCGAGCTCCACAAGCTGTGGGACCGCCACCGGAGCGTTTCGCTGCCGGGGGACCAAGCCACCTCCGAGTCTGACGAGAAGTCTCCATGATAGGAAGCCGAGGACCAGGGAGGAGGAGGAGGAAGAATGAAGGTCTTTCATCTCTAATGCCACAGACATGCTGAACTCCTCAGGGCGACAATCCTTATTAAAGGCCTTCTCTCCACACTCCTGATCTGCAGCTCCTCCTCCTCCTGCCTCACCAGGGCTTCCTCCAGGAACCTCGTAATGACCCAGCCAGACACTGCCCCAGCTCTCCATTTAGCCTTGGGGTCCCACAGCGTCAAGTGTTTGCCATCGCCAAACCTGGACTTTTTAAAAAGGGAATATTTTTCTAGACTTTTATTTTTATGCTTGTTTATGTTCAGAGTCGGAGCCACAGATCAAGTCTTCCTCCTAAATCCTGACGACTGCAGCGATCCTGTAAGGAACGCCTGAGGAGAGAGGGGATGAGGGGAGGAAGGAGAGAGGGAATGAGGGGAGGAAGGAGAGCGTTCAGGAGGTGTAGCTTTATCTCATAGTAGTTTTTTTTACAGCCTTAGAACAAATTCAGTCTGTGATCAAACTTCCATGCGTGACGAGGGAAACGTTTCAGTTCCTTCATCCTGACCTGCGGCGGCGAGCAGGCGGGCCTGACGACACCATGAGCTCCTTTACTGTAGCTGTGGGGGATGAGGAGGGCAGGAAGGAGGAAGGCTCCCCCTTCCTGAAACGCTTCCCCCTTCCGAAATGCTCCCCCCTTCCGAAACGCTCCGGTGGCCTCCTGAAACGCTCCCCCCTTCCGAAACGCTCCCCCCTCCTGAAACGCTCCGGTCGCCTCCTGAAACGCTCCCCCCT